GACCCACACTAACCAGCAGCAGCAACTGACTGACCCACACTAACCAGCAGCAGCTGACTGACCCACACTAACCAGCAGCAGCAGCTGACTGACCCACACTAACCAGCAGCAGCAACTGACTGACCCACACTAACCAGCAGCAGCAGCAACTGACTGACCCACACTAACCAGCAGCAGCAGCTGACTGACCCACACTAACCAGCAGCAGCAGCTGACTGACCCACACTGACCCACACTAACCAGCAGCAGCAGCTGACTGACCCACACTAACCAGCAGCAGCAACTGACTGCCCCACACTGACCAGCAGCAGCAGCAGCAGCAGCAGCAGCTGACTGACCCACACTAACCAGCAGCAGCAGCTGACTGACCCACACTGACCCACACTAACCAGCAGCAGCAACTGACTGACCCACACTGACCAGCAGCAGCAGCAGCTGACTGACCCACACTAACCACCAGCAGCAGCTGACTGACCCACACTGACCCACACTAACCAGCAGCAGCAACTGACTGACCCACATTGACCAGCAGCAGCAACTGACTGACCCACACTAACCAGCAGCAGCAGCAACTGACTGACCCACACTAACCAGCAGCAGCAACTGACTGACCCACACTAACCAGCAGCAGCAGCAACTGACTGACCCACACTAACCAGCAGCAGCAGCTGACTGACCCACACTAACCAGCAGCAGCAACTGACTGACCCACACTGACCAGCAGCAGCAGCTGACTGACCCACACTAACCAGCAGCAGCAGCTGACTGACCCACACTAACCAGCAGCAGCAACTGACTGACCCACACTAACCAGCAGCAGCAGCTGACTGACCCACACTAACCAGTAGCAGCAGCTGACTGACCCACACTAACCAGCAGCAGCAACTGACTGACCCACACTAACCAGCAGCAGCAGCTGACTGACCCACACTAACCAGCAGCAGCAACTGACTGACCCACACTAATCAGCAGCAGCAACTGACTGATCCACACTAACCAGCAGCAGCAGCAGCAGCAACTGACTGACCCACACTAACCAGCAGCAGCAACTGACTGACCCACACTAACCAGCAGCAGCAACTGACTGACCCACGCTAACCACCAGCAGCAGCAGCAGCAGCAGCAACTGACTGACCCACACTGACCAGCAGCAGCAGCTGACTGACCCACACTAACCAGCAGCAGCAACTGACTGACCCACACTAACCAGCAGCAGCAACTGACTGACCCACGCTAACCAGCAGCAGCAGCAGCAGCAACTGACTGACCCACACTAACCAGCAGCAGCAGCTGACTGACCCACACTAACCAGCAGCAGCAGCAGCAGCAGCAGCAACTGACTGAGCCACACTAACCAGCAGCAGCAACTGACTGACCCACACTAACCAGCAGCAGCAGCAGCAGCAACTGACTGACCCACACTAACCAGCAGCAGCAGCAGCAACTGACTGACCCACACTAACCAGCAGCAGCAGCTGACTGACCCACACTAACCAGCAGCAGCAGCTGACTGACCCACACTAACCAGCAGCAGCAGCTGACTGACCCACACTAACCAGCAGCAGCAGCAACTGACTGACCCACACTGACCAGCAGCAGCAGCTGACTGACCCACACTAACCAGCAGCAGCAGCTGACTGACCCACACTAACCAGCAGCAGCAACTGACTGACCCACACTAACCAGCAGCAGCAGCTGACTGACCCACACCGACCAGCAGCAGCAGCTGACTGACCCACACTAACCAGCAGCAGCAGCAGCAGCAACAACTGACTGACCCACACTAACCAGCAGCAGCAGCTGACTGACCCACACTAACCAGCAGCAGCAGCTGACTGACCCACACTAACCAGCAGCAGCAACTGACTGACCCACACTGACCAGCAGCAGCAGCTGACTGACCCACACTAACCAGCAGCAGCAGCAACTGACTGACCCACACTGACCAGCAGCAGCAGCAACTGACTGACCCACACTAACCAGCAGCAGCAACTGACTGACCCACACTGACCAGCAGCAGCAGCTGACTGACCCACACTAACCAGCAGCAGCAACTGACTGACCCACACTAACCAGCAGCAGCAGCAACTGACTGACCCACACTAACCAGCAGCAGCAGCAACTGACTGACCCACACTGACCAGCAGCAGCAGCAACTGACTGACCCACACTAACCAGCAGCAGCAACTGACTGACCCACACTGACCAGCAGCAGCAGCTGACTGACCCACACTAACCAGCAGCAGCAGCTGACTGACCCACACTAACCAGCAGCAGCAACTGACTGACCCACACTGACCAGCAGCAGCAGCAGCAGCAACTGACTGACCCACACTGACCAGCAGCAGCAGCTGACTGACCCACACTAACCAGCAGCAGCAACTGACTGACCCACACTAACCAGCAGCAGCAGCTGACTGACCCACACTAACCAGCAGCAGCAGCTGACTGACCCACACTAACCAGCAGCAGCAGCTGACTGACCCACACTAACCAGCAGCAGCAACTGACTGACCCACACTAACCAGCAGCAGCAACTGACTGACCCACACTGACCAGCAGCAGCAGCAGCAGCAGCAGCTGACTGACCCACACTAACCAGCAGCAGCAACTGACTGACCCACACTGACCAGCAGCAGCAGCAGCAGCTGACTGACCCACACTAACCAGCAGCAGCAACTGACTGACCCACACTAACTAGCAGCAGCAGCTGACTGACCCACACTAACCAGCAGCAGCAGCAACTGACTGACCCACACTAACCAGCAGCAGCAACTGACTGACCCACACTAACCAGAAGCAGCAGCTCACTGACCCACACTAACCAGCAGCAGCAGCTGACTGACCCACACTAACCAGCAGCAGCAGCTGACTGACCCACACTAACCAGCAGCAGCAACTGACTGACCCACACTAACCAGCAGCAGCAACTGACTGACCCACACTAACCAGCAGCAGCAACTGACTGACCCACACTAACCAGCAGCAGCAACTGACTGACCCACACTAACCAGCAGCAGCAGCAGCAGCAGCAGCAACTGACTGACCCACACTAACCAGCAGCAGCAACTGACTGACCCACACTAACCAGCAGCAGCTGACTGACCCACACTAACCAGCGCTTTGTAAGTTAATCTGCCGCTGGGTTTGACCGATGTCAGGCGTGTGGAGTGTTTTTGCTAGAAATGAGGCACTTTAATGAACGTCTACTTCCTGATAAAATCTGTCGCTCTCCTTTAATCCCTCATTTGCTGTAAAATGCGATTAGCCAGGTTTTTATCAGAACTTGTGCTTTGATATTTATCTGAAATGGTCTTTATCTGCAGTTCCTCGTTCTGCAGAGCTTCTCCATCTGTTGTGCTCAGAGATAAACCGGTTAGTGGACACTCTGCCTCATTGTCTGTTGTTTTGATAATCACACTTAATAACACTGGGCATCAATAAGGTCTTTAAACCCGATTTGGCTGCTAAATGGAGTTACAGGGCAGCAGTCGTGTGCGTGCGGCTCGTCTAATGCCATTAGGAATGTTTGTGAGGTCAAATTCGATCCGGCATGAATCGAGCCTGAAGAGAGTCGTTGAGCTGCAGAGTTAAACACAGACGCTCCGTGTTTAAGAATGTTAGGATATTTGAGCTGGAGAACAAGACAAGAAAAGTGTGCAGTGTGTGGATCACGGGGACGTTAGCGTGTGGGTTAGCTGCATTGGGAGGCCAATATTAAAACAACACACACACACATACATATGTGAAGGTCTCTTGGCTTTTTGTGGCTGTGTGTGTGTGTGTCTGTCTGTGTGTGTGCGTTTTAAAAGAGCTTTAACACACAGCGAACGCTGATCTCCGCCTCCATTAACAAACCCTTTGCCAATTTACTTCTCCTCAGATGAAAGAATGGATGGCTAGAAAAAACATAATTGAAAAATTGTGGGCATCAAGAATGAAAGAAAATCAAGCCATGAAAAGAGAATGGTTTTAATCCTGTGAGGCTGGAAATACTCCTTCGGATCGACGCGTCTATTATCTGTGGATGTGTGAATCTCATTAAGCGGCCATTGTGTGACACACACACACACACACACGGACCCGGAGACGAGCGCCGGGACTCATGAGTGTAATCCACAGATCTGCTTTTCAAATCGGCGTCGTCTTTGATGCTCAAGTGTTTTTCCTCCATTATGTGACGCTCCGTGAAGAAGATCCAGCTTCTGTTCAGTTCTCGACTGAGTGTGTGTCCACGACTGAGTGTGTGTTCTCGACTGAGTGTGTGTTCTCGACTGAGTATCCCTCACTTCACCATTCACATGAACGACAGAGAATCTTTTCGGTTCAGCGTTCGCTGTGTGTGTTTAGTGCAGACGAGCCCACAGAGGTCACAGTCAGGGTCGTGACCCGACGACCCTCAGGGGTCACGGCAGACTGTGTTACACACGGCTTGTCCAAATACACACACGTGTGGTCTTGGCCACTGGCGAGCGCGTGCGACAGGAAGTGTGTGTGCAGGACTGTCCTTAAAGTGCCCTTAATGCACACTAAACACACACTATCCCCAATCAGCTTCAGTGCGATCCACTGTCATTTAAATTAATTAGATGCATATAATTGGTAGTAAAAACATAAAGTGTTGCACATGTCATTGGTGTGTATGAGTATGGTGTGTGTAGGCCTGTTTTGTACAACATTTGCAACTGTTTTTATCCCTTAATTAGAAGCACCACAATTGTAAATGTGTGTCTTCTGTTAGTTACTGAACAGACATGTAGAAGTTTATTTTAAAATGCAAAATGTTGAAAATATAATAAATAAAAGCTCTGTAAAGACTTGCATTTTTTTGCAAGACTATAAGTGTGTCCCATCAAGTAAACAAAAGTTCTGCACACACTTGCAGTGTTTACGCCTGCTTGAACACTTGAGCCAAATGGAGGAAACGTCATGCGAGTAGACGAGTGGTCGAGTGAAGGCTGAGTGTGTGTGTCTGATGTCCAGGGCTTGTGTGTGTGCAGGTCACCGTCTCCATGTACCGGCGAGGAGCGCAGGGCTGGCTGGGGAAACCGCTCATCGCCACGGCAACAATCCCGTCCAGCACACGCGTGATCTTCCGCATCCGAGGAGAAACTGCAGACGCCAAGATCCCGGCCGGCAGCGTCCGCTCCCTCACACTGAGCATCTGAAGGAACACTCTTCTGCCCATCGTCTGCTTCACACCACTGATGAACATTTCAGAGGGACTATATTTCCTTTTAATAAGGGGAAATTCATGAGGTTTATATTACTGAATGATCCTCTGGTGTGTCCAGTACAGTAATGATTCATAGACATCAGCCTGCATGTTGAACTGTACAATCTTAAAGGGCTGGTATAATGCCCCTTCTTACAGGATGTAAAATAAGTCTCTGTTGTCCCCAGTGTGTGTGTGTGTGTGTGTGTGAAGCTTTAGCTCAAAACACCCCACAGATCATTTTGTACAGTATGTTAAAGTTGTCCCTTTTTGAGGGTCAGTAAAAACACGTTGATTCGTGTGTGTCCCTTTAAATGCAAATGAGCTGCTGCTCCCGGCACAGGAGGCGGAGCTTCAAGAGCTTGTGTGTGTGTGTGTTTGTTAGCAGCTCCGATTACCTCACACACGTTCTGAAAATATCAAAAACGTTTAGCCTTTTATGTTTAAACCGGAGTCAGTGATGGAGAGAAGAAGTGATAACATGAAGAAGCAACAGGACGTTTCTGAATGGTTAGTTGATGAATGAATGCAGCTGATGTGGAGTTAACTATCTTCAAGTCATTGATTACCATATTCTGTCATGATGATCTATAAATCGCTCGTGTGGGAACTGTTGTAAGATTCCTACAGAGTGACATGATATTGCATTTGTGTTACGAACTGTATTGCAATAAATGTGAAAACACGGATGCGACAGCTTTAGCTTGAACTCACAAATGTGCTCGACTACACTCTCAACATGCGCTGCGTGTTCCCGGGGGCGGGGTTATGTAAATTTTAGGGCTTGTGATGTCACTAACCTGGAGGCGGGGTTATGTCAATTTTAGGGTTTGTGATGTCACTAACCTGGGGGCGGGGTTATGTCAATTTTAGGGTTTGTGATGTCACTAACCTGGGGGCAGGGTTATATAAATTTAAGGGTTTCTGATGTCACTAACCTGGGGGCGGGGTTATGTCAATTTTAGGGTTTGTGATGTCACTAACCCGTGAAGAAGCTCGGTGTAGTCTGCTAAATGAATAAATGTAAATGTAGAAAAATGAAATCATAATCAACCACCCCTTTAAGTTTTTATAGATTCATCTATTTTCTAAACATTCTTGAGATTCTAGTAAATCTCCATGTGTTCATGATGACCTTTACAATGTTCACCAGTTTTTTAAAGTGACTTTAAAAGCCTAAACATAGAAAAGATGATTGGTGTCATCATATTGATTATGTAAACAGTTAGTAAACAGTAAGTGAACAGTTAGTAAACAGTTAGTGAACAGTAAGTGAACAGTTAGTAAACAGTAAGTAAACAGTAAACAGCAAGTGAACGGTAAGTGAACAGTTAGTAAACAGTAAACAGTAAGTAAACAGTATACAGTAAGTGAACGGTTAGTAAACAGTAAGTGAACGGTAAGTGAACGGTTAGTAAACAGTAAGAGAACAGTTAGTAAACAGTAAACAGTAAGTGAATGGTAAGTGAACGGTTAGTAAACAGTAAACAGTAAGTGAACAGTTAGTAAACAGTAAACAGTAAGTAAACAGTAAACAGTAAGTGAACGGTAAGTGAACAGTTAGTAAACAGTAAACAGTAAGAGAACAGTTAGTAAACAGTAAGTGAACAGTTAGTAAACAGTAAGTGAACAGTTAGTAAACAGTAAGTGAACGGTAAGTAAACAGTAAACAGTAAGTAAAGAGTAAACAGTTAGTAAACAGTAAGTAAGTGAACAGGAAACAGTAAGTGAACAGTTAGTAAACAGTAAACAGTAAGTGAACGGTAAGTGAACAGTAAGTGAACAGTTAGTAAACAGTAAACAGTAAGTAAACAGTTAATGGTTAGTAAACAGTGAGTAAGTGAACAGTAAGTGAACAGTTAGTAAACAGTAAACAGTAAGTAAACAGTTAACGGTTAGTAAACAGTGAGTAAGTGAACAGTAAACAGTGAGTAAACAGTAAACAGTTAGCAAACAGTAAACAGTTAGTAAACAGTAAGTAAACAGTAAACAGTAAGTAAACAGTAGGTAAACAATAAGTAAACAGTAAGTGAACAGTAAGTGAACAGTAATTAAACAGTAATTAAACAGTAAACAGTTAGTAAACAGTAAGTGAACAGTAAGTGAACAGTAAGTAAACAGTAAGTAAACAGTAAGTAAACAGTAAACAGTAAGTAAACAGTAAACAGTTAGTAAACAGTAAGTAAACAGTAAACAGTTAGTAAACAGTAAACAGTTAGTAAACAGTAAGTAAACAGTGAGTAAACAGTAAACAGTGAGTAAACAGTAAACAGTTAGTAAACAGTGAGTAAACAGTAAACAGTGAGTAAACAGTAAACAGTTAGTAAACAGTAAGTAAACAGTAAGTAAACAGTAAGTGAACAGTAAGTGAACAGTAAACAGTAAGTAAACAGTAAGCAGTAAGTAAACAGTAAACAGTTAGTAAACAGTAAGTAAACAGTAAACAGTTAGTAAACAGTAAGTAAACAGTAAACAGTAAGTAAACCATTAGTAAACAGTAAGTAAAAAGTTAGTAAACAGTGAGTAAACAGTAAACAGTGAGTAAACAGTAAACAGTTAGTAAACATTGAGTAAACAGTAAACAGTTAGTAAACAGTGAGTAAACAGTAAACAGTTAGTAAACAGTAAGTAAACAGTAAGTAAACAGTAAACAGTTAGTAAACAGTAAAAAGTTAGTAAACAGTAAGTAAAAAGTTAGTAAACAGTGAGTAAACAGTAAACAGTTAGTAAACAGTGAGTAAACAGTAAACAGTTAGTAAACAGTAAACAGTAAGTAAACAGTTAGTAAACACTAAGTAAACAGTAAACAGTTAGTAAACAGTAAAAAGTTAGTAAACAGTAAGTAAAAAGTTAGTAAACAGTAAGTAAAAAGTTAGTAAACAGTGAGTAAACAGTAAACAGTTAGTAAACTAGGGCTGTCACTTTTGAGAAAAATCTAATTCGAATGGATATCGAATATCAAGCAATGTATTCGAATATATTCGAATATCTACGAGCGCCCCACACCCCCACCAAAACCCCCCCAAAAAAACACCGTAACGGAGATCACACATTTATTAACAGTCTGACAGTCATAAACAGGACTCAGGCCTGTCTGAACTTTTTTTTTTTTACTTAATGTTTTAAACAGCAAGTTATCAACTTAATCTATATGAAGTGCCACTATGCATAGCCAATCACAAAATTAGGCTACATATGGGAAAAAACTGAAGCGGAACAGCACGGCACAAACAATAACGTGACAACTTAAACAGCAGCAGGAGTAAGGCCTATATAGCCTAGCCTAATTCATTTCTTAATATTGTTTGCTAGAAACACCAATTTATCAACTTGATCTGGATCAAGTGCGGCTCTCTTTTTATTGACGATGTTCCCCGCGGTGGAGAACACGCGCTCGGAGCGCGCACACGTGCCTGGCACACACAGGTATTTGCGCGTCTTTACATGAACCCTTATAATCGGATTGACGGCTCAATCGGACTAAAAAACCTTCATGTAAACACCTTAATCGATCCGATGGTTTACTCCTTTTGTAATCCGATCGAGAGAACATGTAAACACTTGATCGGATTGAAAACCGAAACTAAAAGGACTGCGCATGTGCAATGACGTATTACGCACGGAGCGAGTTGTTCTTCCTGTTGAATAAAGTGTCATATAAATGAGTGTTCCGTTATTGAAAAAATCTCATTTCACTCAGCGTTTGTGAAGTGGAGCAGAACAACGTCCCACCAGTACTTGTTTCAGATTCTCATCCACAGACGACTGGTTTTGGGCGTGGGGTTTTACTCCGTGATCAATATAAGCAGCACGGCAAATCATGCTCATCGTCTCCAAATCATGACCAGAAACGGATAAATATTAAGTCTGCTGTTTAAAACAAATAAAGAACCAATAGAAGAGAATAGTTATGCGCGAACAGCGGCATATTCGTGCAGTGTGCGCATGTCAAAAAATCAATTCCGATTTGAATCTTGTGACATATAACTACATTACTTTAATGTATCGTTCATGTAAACACCGTGTTCGGATTCATCAATCGGATTGTCCATTTCCAGACACTACTTTTTAGATGAGTTGGGGCAGAAATGATCCGCTCAGGCTGGCCGTTCTGTGCGTTATCTTCCATTTTCAAAACAGGGTGGCTGTTGGCTATTATTCGCTTGATTTGGTCATGAGCTTACGCTACAATACGTTTAGAGTGCCCGCTACTGGATGAGATGGCAAACAATAAAATAAAAAACAAACGCGCTAAACATGGCACTTTAAAAACCGGTTAGTTTATTTATAGTACGATTACGGATATTTCACGTCATGTTCGAATGCATATTCGAATATCGAATAAAAAGTGACAGCCCTATAGTAAACAGTGAGTAAACAGTAAACAGTTAGTAAACAGTGAGTAAACAGTTAGTAAACAGTAAGTAAACAGTTAGTAAACAGTAAGTAAACAGTTAGTAAACAGTAAGTAAACAGTAAGTAAACAGTTAGTAAACAGTAAGTAAACAGTAAGTAAACAGTTAGTAAACAGTAAGTAAACAGTTAGTAAACAGTTAGTAAACAGTAAGTAAACAGTTAGTAAACAGTAAGTAAACAGTAAACAGTTAGTAAACAGTAAAAAGTTAGTAAACAGTTAGTAAACAGTTAGTAAACAGTTAGTAAATAGTTAGTAAACAGTAAACAGTTAGTAAACAGTTAGTAAACAGTTAGTAAACAGTAAGTAAACAGTTAGTAAACAGTAAGTAAACAGTAAGTAAACAGTTAGTAAACAGTAAGTAAACAGTTAGTAAACAGTAAGTAAACAGTAAGTAAACAGTTAGTAAACAGTAAACAGTTAGTAAACAGTAAGTAAACAGTAAACAGTTAGTAAACAGTAAAAAGTTAGTAAACAGTAAGTAAACAGTAAGTAAACAGTTAGTAAACAGTTAGTAAACAGTAAACAGTTAGTAAACAGTTAGTAAACAGTAAACAGTTAGTA